TTTCCGACCTTTAGACCAACCAACCGGAGCTGTAACTGACACTTTTTACGCGACACGAAAAACAACATCCCCCACGCCTCAAAACCAGCTGAACCCAAACTCCATCTCAGAAAACAGGAGGCCCTAATTGGTTTAGCCAAAGTTTCTGTTTTGCTTTTACATTAAATATTTTCATATCAAGGGCTGGTGTTTATTATGTTACGCTCTATTTACTATTAATTTTCTCAAACAGAAAGGGAGAAATTAACCCTGTAATGCCAAATGTATCATATTTGATTCATATGGTTTCTGAAATGTTTTGCGTCTGACACCTTTTGCATAATTTAATGGTAAAAACTTTGCTCAAAATCCTATATACCTGATAACAGGGGGCAGAAGACTACACAAACAATAATCTTGACTTATTGCATAGTAATAAATTTTTAATATCAAAAATGTATTTCTGTTTTTTCTTTTTACAAGTTTGTTAAAAGGCCGAATAAAGACTTCAAACAGAAATAAAAGTAATTTTCTGTTTTGTTTTATTATTGGATCAGGCTTTAAAGGGTTAAACTGAAAGACAAAGGCCTCAAAAGTAGAGTGTGTCTTGTTTGTAATTTACTGCAAAATAATCAGCAGAATTCAGAAAAAAAAAAGCTCATGTCATTCCATTCACCCCACTTTGTGCGTTTGTTTATTTTCTTGATAGGCCTGAATAATTTCCAAAAATTAAATCATGTTGACAACTGATAATATTTGGACGTGAGAACAGCAAACACATCCGCAGTGACTCTATGTACCGCGCACACAAAGAGACGCGAGGAAAGTAAACTAGACAATAAGCAATAGGTGCTTCTGTGATTCTATTTGGCCGCCGTCAATTAACCCTTTAAAGCCTGATCCAAGAAAAATAGGAAGAATATTGGATTTTTTTAGTCTGAAGTCTTTCTTTGGCCCCTCAACAACATATGAAGCCAAAAAACAGAAATTATTTTGATCAAATTAGCATGCAATAAGTCAAAAATATATGTTGGTGTAGTCTTCTACTGGCTGTTATCAGGTATATCTGAATGTGTACAACAGGGGTTTGAGCAAAGCTTTTACCACTGAATGATGCAGAAAGTCTCAGATCCAAAAGACTTCAGAAACCGTATGAATCAAATATGACACATTTGGCATTATAGGGTTAAGGGACACAACAAAAGCGGCCGTTGTGGTGTCCTGGTTTCTTACCAGGCGTCTTCGCTCCTCCTCCACGGTGCTCAAAAGCTGGGAGAACTCTTTAAACGACTGAGCTGAAAGAGAAGAAATAATCTATAAGAAGACATACTTGGAACAGCGAGGCATTTGCATACAAACAAATATAGATACATACACATATGACATATATATTTATATTTTTACATAGTAAATATATATAGAATGTAATGGAAACGTGCCGCTTTCCAATTTAAAACCAACACAGCAGTAAAAGAGCAACTCAGTGGATGCAACTGATTGCTTCCCTTTGCGTTGTTTGCCTGCAAGGCTTTACCACTGTAACAATAAAAGAAAAGACCAACGAGGTAGAAATATGTTTACACGACCTGGGCCGCCTGTATTAAAGGGGACATATTATGCAAAACCAAGTTTTTAATCATTTGATTATGTACATTTGGGACTGTGGAGGGCCTATCAGCAGGCAAAGTGTGAAAAAAAATGACTGGGTCATGTTTTTGTGGGCCGCCTCAGTCTGAATCCAGGAGATAAATCAGGAGGTTTCAGGAGTGGGTAGTTTCTGACGTCATTAGCTCTAGCTCATTATAATATTATTATTATTATAATATTAATACTATTATATATTATCTAGCTCATTATAATATTCCAGCCTTTCACCTGCATGTTGCCCCCCCCCTCAGCTTACTCCCCTATCTGTGGAGACGTCCTGGTAGCGTGAGCGTTAGCATGGTAGCGTTAGCATGGTAGCGTTAGCATGGTAGCGTTATTGTGGTAGCGTTAGCATGGTAGCGTTAGCGTGCCGACGTGGGCACACCTCCCTGAAGAAGTGGGTGGATTGCCTGTCTCTCATTTGCATTTAAAGAGACAGGCACTCCAAACTGACATTAAACAGACATTACATT